CCCAGAAAACCACTGCTCACTTTCCAGGAGTGCTGCATGCAAGTGATGGGGGGTACGAATGGGTGACAGCTGGTAACAAAAATACATAAATAGCAATGAGTCAGGTTTGGATTTGAATCAGTATCTACATTTTAAATCCAATGAAAGCAAGAATGTTAACAAATAAATTGGACAACATTCGGGCTGTTTAGTGATATTTCCACAGCTGTGGTCTTGACTGGTCTTGAAATAAAATTCAGAGTCCTCAATGTCCGAGACCGAGACAAGACCGAGTACAAATGCTGTCGAGTCTGAGACAACCATCAAAAAGTGGTCTTAAGACCAAGACCAGTTTCAAGTACTACAACACTATGAACAACAGAACCACACTGACTCATGTGCTGGTTGAATGCTGGTGTGTGACCAGGCTGTGTAGCTACATATTGTTCTTTCACATGCTATGTAGCCATTTGCTTTGTTAAATTATTATGTTTTTAAATTACTAATGAGTCTTTTTTTACTTCAGACTTTAATCATCAAATCTAACAAACAGCAAATGATTCAGTAGCAGAATAAGGTGTTTGGAAGAAAGGATTTGAAAAGGTTTTTAACCACACACTAAACTCTGCTGTTCAGCTTACAAATTTTCATCACAATTATGGCAAATACACTTTCCACCACACCCCTGCCCTCAGAAAATAGTAAAATTCTAAAGCTTTTCTCTCCTCTTCCTGCCAGGGCATCATTAAAAGAGATGAGATTGTGTTTAGAGCCGCGAGGCAACGAGGCATTCCCATCCTCATGGTAACATCCGGAGGATACCAGAAGAAAACTGCACAAATCATCGCAGAGTCCATCCTCAACCTAAAGCGGCAGGGCCTGATTGGAGCAGAAGCAGAGGAGGAGGAGAGGGGATCTTCATCACCGGAGACTCACCTGCTGCATGGCGCTGGGTCTGCTGGATCAACATCCACAACAGTCTAAGCAGCAAAGACCATRGACTTCAGGGTTAACTCTCCTTTAAACTTTGTTAACTTTATACCGTGAAGTTCTTTCTGACCATGCTGTCACACAAATACTCATGTTCCATTTTCAGAGAAGTAACAAAACATTTAAAGGGGCAATATTATGTGTTTCTCAAGCATATATTTAAATTCTATACCATAATAAAGTCACCTTCAGTTGTTATTAAAATGTTTATATGTTTAAATAGAAAATAAATGTGACTTCTCATCATATCTGTTTCTAAACGCCTTGAAATTGGCCTCTGTCTCTTTAAGAACTTCCTTCCGCTTCTGTCCCGCCCATTTCAGCATGGGGCCAGGTGGGTGTGTTCTGTGATGAGGAAGCTTGGAGACACAGCCCAGAGGAGGAGCTGGTCCCAAAAGGAGGTTCTAGGCCCAACCGGTGGTTTTTGCTCCCCTGCCTGCTGCCTCAGGACACTACAGGATTTCTCAAACATGCATGAATGAGTCAGACTCTGGGCATGTTTTTCATGAGAGGATAACATTATAATATGATATAAAACTCAAAAAGTTGATTTTATAAACTTTATATTGCCCCTTTAAAGATTTCATACATTTGTTTTGTTTTTATTTTGTTAATCTGTGTGACTACCAAGTGGTCAGCTTATTGTAATACTGCAACAGGGAGCAAATGGAACAGGACTCAAAGCACAAATACTGGAGCATGTTGTTTAATGTTTATTCTTCTTTAACACTTAAAATGTGAAGTTAAAACCATTAAACACATTATAGGCCGGACCAGTAGCCTAAACTATGCTACAGTGCCTATAAAAAGTATTTAACTAGGAACCTGATGGTGGAGTCTTCTGACGTTTAGCAGACTGTGGTAGAGATTTAATCTGAGGTTTCCTCCTCAGTGTTTGTCTCTCTCCCATAAAGATCAGACTGTTGAAGAATCAGGTCAGCCGTTGTAGATCAGTCTTAACTTGACCTGCTGAGGCTTGGAGCTCCCTCTGAATGGTCTCGGGTGTCTTGGTAGTCTCTCTCTATTTACTTTTTAATAATATTGAACTAGAACAGTAAAATGAGGTGAATATTTATACACTCACTTATTTTACATGGCATATTTATATTTTATTGGTATTACTCTGTAGAAAATGGATTTCACTTTCTCCCTGTAAGAGGGGTATTTTTATACTTTTTATGGGCACTGTATGTTTGGCTCAAAATATCTGCTGATTCATGCGTTCATAATATTTTTGACCTCTGTCATTTAAGTCAACTTGTATGTCTTTGATGATATTTAAAAGGTTTAATAGATTTTAAATACTGTGCACTTTATGGTACGACTCAAGTTCACCTGTTTTCTCCAGGTGAAGCTGAGTGAACCTTGTGGTTTCTGTCCTGAACTGATAAAAGTTCCCAAAACAACTTATTTAAGGATAAATGCAGAATCCTATACGGGTAAGTGGTTAGCTGTATTTTGTTCCACGCAGCTCCTGTAATAATGTTCATACATTGAATTTGTAAAATAAAAAAGAGAAGAAATAAGTAGATCAATGTGGTGTCATTGTAAATTGTAAAATGTATTGTAAATATTTATTGTAATATGCAAGAATATTGTAAAATCTAATATTGCCTCGCAATGCCTTCCTCTGCTGTTTTATATGGCAAGTCCTATTAAAGGTTATTCTGAACTATAACTGTGTAGTTTGAAAGAGTTGACTGCAGTAGATTTTCTAAGATATATGTATTGAGCAATTGTGAAATGCAGGTATGCACACAATACAAACAAAACATTTATTTTACTCACAAAATCTGAGCATAAATATGTATTAACTCATCAGACAGTTCAGATTGTTGACCTGTTGTCAGTCACTTCTGTTGTTTCTGAAGGTAAACACTCATTAGCAGCCTTGAAAAACTTTACTTACAAATTTTTTGATTTAAGAATGCATGAACTATTTATATGGAAAATAGAATTTTATTCTTTATGGTTTTATTTATTTATTTGATATTGCAGGGTGCACCATTAAAGAAGAAGCATCATATTTTCCACAGAGTCAACAGGTTTTTATTTGTATTTCCTTAAAGTCTTTAAAAGTATCAATCCAAAAATAAGGTCTTAATTAGCCTTAAAATGTCTTAAGTCAGTCTTTCCGAGGTCTTAAAAATGTTAACACCTAAGTAGGAAGAATATTAAATAATATTGGTAACATTTATTTATTTTTTAATAATTTTGTCAAATGCCTCTCACAGTTAGTTGTTTTGTGTTAAAATAAAGATTTTGTTAAGATTGTTGTTAAGCCTTTTTTCCATTTTTGTTGATTGTGAAGTTGGTCTTAAATTTAATTTCAAGTGGCATTAAAGAGGTCTGAAGAAGGCTTAAGTTGATCTTGCCCGAAGCTGTAGGAACCCTGTATCCATTAGACTGAGAATAGGTTCTGTTCAGCTCCAGAGTGGCTGGTGTAGAATTGTAATTTTTACAGAAAACATTTGCAAAACTTTTATGAATCTAAATTGCTGACGTCTGCAAGTGAAACCAGTTTCTCATTTAAAATAGATCTGAGCTATCAGTTCGTTGTGGTTTTTATAATTAACTAAATGTTTGGAGTGGTGGAGTGGTTAGGGGAGTCACTTCACACACCTTGCCTACTTGTGGTGCTCAGAGGGTCTGGTGGCACGGGGGCATGGCAGCCCCACCGCTGTCAGTACACCCCAAAGCAGCTGTGGCTGGATCTTACCACTATCGGGAATGGGTGAATGACTGTATGTAAAGAGCTTTGGGGTCCACATGGGGCTGGTAAAGCACTATAGAAGTTCAGTCCATTTACCATTTAGCAACAATTTGTTGTCCTTGATTTATTAACAAGAATCTGGCCTTAATGTCTCACTTTCCTTGTTAATATGACTGAACTTTTTCTTTTTTCTTTATTTTTCATAAAGAAATTTTTAAATAATTTCTGGCAGAGTCTCCAGTCAGACTGAGCTTCAACTCACACCTCTGGGAGAGCTTTGAACACATTCCAGGGGAGGCGGTAAACATTGAGTCAGGTTGTCGTGCCTGTAGTGGCGACAACCCTCAAACCCTCTGGTGGACATCAGCAGTAAGGGATGCTGTCAGGCTGAAGAAGGAGGCCTATCAGGTCTTTTTGGCCTGTGGGACTCTGGAAGCAGCTGATAGGTGTCGGCAGTTCAAGTGGTATGCGGCTCAGGTGGTTGCTGAGGCAATATACAACTTCGAGGCGATTCTGGTCCACCATCCGGCGTCTCAGGGTGCAAAAGAGGTTCACCACCAACATTGTTTCTGGTGGGGATGGTGCACTGCTGACCTCAACTTGAGACATTAAGGAAGCAGAGCCTGAGGACCCTGGGTCAGACTCTTCAACCTCTGTTGCTGAGGTCACAAAGGTGGTTAAAAAGCTCGGTGGCAAGGCACCGGGGGTGGATGAGATTCGCCTGGAGTTCCTTAAGGTTCTGGATGTTGTGGGATTGCGTTGGTTGGCGTGACTCTACAATATTGCGTGGACATCGTGGACAGTTCCCCTGTATTGGCAGACTGGGGTGGTGGTCCCCCTATTTAAAAGGGGGGACCGCAGAGTGTGTTCCAACAAT